AATGGCAAACCACTTCCGAAAAACCTTGCCAAGAAAACTGCAGGGACTAGTCCAGGCAGTCGCCACAAGTCAAGACTGACTTAAAGGCACAAAACAGAACAAACAAAAAATACTACTATATACTGCTAGTGCAGCATGATATACATGCATACATACATGCAGCATGATATAGCAGCTAGAGTGCTGACTTGGTTGGAGAACAGTTGGGCTCATATTCTGTTAGAAATGAAACCCAGAAGGTCTTTGTTTTGACCAAACCATTAGTATTGCTTACAAAAAGGCAGCATAAATAGTGATGTCATTAATAAGACAAATGTATTATAATCAATGACCGCTACTGCATGTCACAGGTCCTTTTTTTCCTGCAGTGACCAATTATAGGGATTATTGAATGACACTTTTGTTATAGTGTTAGGATTTCACACACACTCATCAGGAAGCTACCGCTAGCAATTCTGCTCTCGGTCCTATAGCTTATATTTACCTGCTTATTGGCTAGAATCATTACAGGCAAAGTTGAGTTATTCTGGACCAACTGATGAAGATGTTTTTTTGCAACTGGGAAGCGTTCATGATCTGCTGAGTCCACAACGTAGATCAGCAACAGGACTCTTGGCATATACATCTTCCAATACTCTCTTAAAGACTCACTGCCCCCAACTGTAAATCAATAATATAGGAAGACAATGAATCAGCAATTGTCAATTAAAACTCACAACTGCTTACTAAAACTTTCAATAGGAGGCAGCTGGTTTCAAACTGATTTCATGGAAACTCTCAGGAAAGGCCGAAGTACATGATAGAAAATCTTTGCAACAATTATCATCCACAACTGAATATACTGCAGGAAAACACTGAGGTTAAAGCACACATATATAGAATAAAAAAATAATATGGTTAGAGTTCTATTTAATGAGCAATGGGATGGATCTTACAACACAGCAACTTTTAAATTGAACATATATATGTTTCTCCTTGTTGTTTGACCCAAATCATATTTTTCTAAAAAAAATTTTCATTCCATATCTTAATCCTTTAAATGAGAAAAATGAAGTGTAGGAACCAATACCCAACAAGATTATATAATCTACTGAGTTCTGTGTATTCCTGTCTTCATTAGAATGGCTTTATTGCAATAATTATAAAAATGTAACCTGTTATAATACACTTTAAATTATTCCTAGTATTTTGGCTCAATGAAGAAAATAGGTAAATTATGCTAGATATACAGTTTTGACTTATGTAAAGTAGTTATGTTTAGTGGAAACAAAACTTTAACACACCAGTATTTTATCAGGGAAATGGAGGGGGAGATTTTTAACAGCAGTGTTTCCTTGAAAAGACCTAAAATAGAGGATTAAAAAAAAATGTTTCTCATAAGATATATATGCTTACTTTCTAGAAATTCCATCTTTGTTTCTTCTGTATTGACACACACTGCATTGAAGCCTTTGGTGGGAACTGTGTTGTGCTTTACTTGGTTAGTTGCTAGCGAACAGAGAACACTGGTTTTTCCAGCCCCATCTAAGCCTAGAACCAAGATTTGCTTGCTGGATGGTTTATCCTACAAAATATAAGACCACACAATTACCAGTGAAGACAGATACATTAAAAGTAAAACCTCTATGGAGCCATTTTTTAATATTTAGTAGAGGGAACATTTGAACAAATAAAATCATGGA